ATGCAACACATGGGAATCTTTATTGAAGAAACGTTTCGCCACACAGTGGCTTCATCAGTCCAATACAAAGTAGAAATGGGTAAGGAGAGTAGAAGTTTGAGGTAATCAGTCCCTCAACCTGGAATCGATGTGTTCAGTCCATCACTCTTGTAGGAAGTGCAGCATAGGGTCAGAGAGGTGGCTTATATACTGCAGTGAGATGAGGTGAAGCAGGAGGAGGCGGGATCACAGTGGGACCTGCCACTAGTGTAAGTAGGTCGTCGTCCAAAGGTTGGGCAAGCGTTGAAGTCTTTGTACCAAGATCCCATGATGTTGCAGTGTCTGACAGATGTGATGAATGGTTTTGAAAACCGACAAGTTGAACACAGATTCCAGGTTGAGGGACTGATTACCTCAAACTTCTCTCCTTACCCATTTCTACTTTGTATTGGACTGATGAAGCCACTGTGTGGCGAAACGTTTCTTCAATAAAGATTCCCATGTGTTGCATAAGTGTCTCAATTCTTCAATCTAACCACTAGTTTGGCAGGAGGCCGCCACAGAGTCAGTATAATTAGTCCCTCAGCCTGGAGTCAATATAATTAGTCTCTCAGCCTGGAGTCAATATAATCAGACCATCAGTCTTTAACTATTCTACTTTGTACTGGACTGATGGAGTCACTGTGTGGCGGAACGCTACTGCAATAAAGTTACCCAAGTGTTGCAAGTGTCTAATTTATCCGAGCCAACTGTCATTAGTCGTATAACGTAAACATACAGGACGCACAAGACAGCCTGGAGCTCATGACGTTACAGTCAAACTTCGAACATCAGTGGATATGGAAGTAAGTCACTGACTTTGTGTTATCTTAGGCTCTACTCACATGCTGTTATGTATGATAATCTCTGTAACTGTGTTTGTGTATACCTGAGTAACCTTACTAACTACTCCGTTAGTACCATGACTGTAAACAGACTATGGAACATGTGGGTGTTTGAAACCATGTCAAATTAGTCCTGAAACAGTCCTGGGTGTTCATATCAACACCCGTTCCCTGAGATCATTAGCTACATATCTGTGCAGTGTTCACATTTATAACGTACATTATACAGCTGATATAAGATTAACCGACATGATACACAAACCTTACATAGTGTATTAATGTTGGTAGTGTCGTTCCTAATGAGCGGAATCGTCTAGTTTGGTTTATATGTACTGGCTCCCTCACCTTCGTGTCTTAGTGTGACTTGTAAATGGTAGTCATAAGATTTTCTCTCCTATGTGAGGGTTGTGTGTGTGTACATATGATTTCCGGCGCCGTGACAATTAACTTAAACCTATCGTACAGTTATTTAGTAAGTAGATATAAATTAGTTATTTGAGATAATTAGATTCTTAAACTGATACTTGCGCCTGCTGTCACTGATCATCTCGCAGTAAATATGTGACTACAGTAAATATCTGCTAGAGCATGGGAAATATATGGAAGACAAAGGACCCAGGAAAATAGGGAATTCAGTCGAAGAGCCAGAAATGAATAACAAAAAGGCACAATACCGTGACTGGAACAATACACAAATAACCCGCACATAAAAGAGAAGCTTAGGACGACGTTTCGGTCCGACTTGGACCATTGACAAAGTCACACTACCAGAGGTGGAGCAGGACGGCTATATATAGGCAGGAAGAGGTGGAGGTAGTAGTAGTAGTAGTAGTAGTACAAGAATTGTATATAATACCGACAGGATGAAATTAAGACATGCACAACGCCCGGGCATCCCCATCGTAGACGTTTCGCCATCCAGCAAGTCACTGGATGGCGAAACGTCCACAACAAAGACAACCAGACGCCGCACATGTCTTAATTTCATCAGTAGTTGTAGTAGAAGAAGAAGAGGTAGTAGTAGTGTAGTGGTAGAAGTGGGAAATAAGGAAGACGAGCCAGTCAAATACAAAGGAAGGGGAGCACTGCAAGAGAGCTAGATGCCCACAGAGGGAGAGCAAGCGCACCGAGGTGCGTGAAAGGGGAAGTGGTGAAATAAAATAAATGAAGAAGGAACAGACACGAGACAGGAGAGAGAAAGACAACCCAGAGGAGAAAAGGAGAGAGGAAAGGGGAAGAGGAAGAAGAAAAAAAAGAAAAAGTGAGGATTCAGGTTAAGTCACGGGTGTTCTGAAGTTTGGAGCATTTTACAATGTAGTGGGAGAGGAAGGCATCTACAGAGACGAAGCCAGGGCTAAGGTTCATACAAGGAAAGTTGTGTATTAGAGAGGATTCAACTAGACGGCGACTGTCTTCCCTACTTCCAACTCTAACAGTCGCCGTCTAGTTGAATCCTCTCTAATACACAACTTTCCTTGTATGAACCTTAGCTCTGGCTTCGTCTCTGTAGATGCCTTCCTCTCCCACTACATTGTAAAATGCTCCAAACTTCAGAACACCCGTGACTTAACCTGAATCCTCACTTTTTCTTTTTTTTCTTCTTCCTCTTCCCCTTTCCTCTCTCCTTTTCTCCTCTGGGTTGTCTTTCTCCTGTCTCGTGTTTCTGTTCATTTATTTTATTTCACCACTTCCCCTTTCACGCACCTCTGTGTGCTTGCTCTCCCTCTGTGGGTTTCTAGCTCTCTTGCAGTGCTCCCCTTCCTTTGTATTTGACTGGCTCGTCTTCCTTATTTCCCACTTCTAACACTACCACTACTACTACCTCTTCTTCTTCTTCTACTACAACTACTGATGAAATTAAGACATGTGCGGCGTCTGGTTGTCTTTGTTGTGGACGTTTCGCCATCCAGTGACTGGCTGGATGGCGAAACGTCTACGATGGGGATGCCCGGGTGTTGTGTATGTGTCTTAATTTCATCCTGTCGGTATTATATACAATTCTTGTACTACTACTACTACTACTACCACCACCTCTTCCTGCCTATATATAGCCGTCCTGCTCCACCTCTGTTAGTGTGACTTTGTCAATGGTCCAAGTCGGACCGAAACGTCGTCGTAAGCTTCTCTTTTATGTGCGGGTTATTTGTGTATTGAGCCAGAAATTAATATACAGGGATAAAGAGAAGCCCAGTGTCAATATGAGAATGACAGCATCAAAAGCCAAATCTGACCCAAAGTTGTTATACAGCCGTATCAGGAGGAAGACAACAGTCAAGGACCAGGTAATCAGACTGAGGAAAGAAGGAGGTGACAAGAAACGAGCAAGAAGTATGTGAGGTGCTCAACACGAGATTTAAGGAAGTATTTACAGTGGAGATAGAAAGGACTCTGGGAAGTCAGAATTGGGGGGTACGCCAACAAGGGATATACCAACAAGTGTTGGATGAAATACACACAACTGAGGAGGAGGTGAAGAAGCTGCTAAGTGAACTTGATACCTAAAACCGGACATCTCCCCGTGGGTCCTTAGGGAGCAGAGACACTGTGTGCCACTAACAATTCTCAACACATCCATTGAAACTAGGCAACTACCTGAAGTATGGAAGACGGCAAATGTAGTCCCCATTTTTAAGAAAGGAGACAGAAACGATGCACTAAACTACAGACCAGTATCACTGACGTGTATAGTATGCAAAGTCATATAGAAAATTATCAGGAGGAGAGTGGTGGAACACCTGGAACGGAACAAGATTATAAACGACGACCAGCACTGATTATGGAAGGCAAATCCTGTGTCACGAACCTACTGAGTTTTTTGACAAGGCAACGGAAGTAAGACACGAGAGAGAGGGGTGGGTAGATTGCATTTTCTTGGACTGCAAGAAGGTCTTCGACATAGTTCCTCACAAGAGATTAGTGCAAAAGCTAGAGGATCAGGCACGTTTAACAGGAAGGGCACTGCAATGGATCAGAGAATACCTGACAGGAAGGAAACAACGAGTCATGGTACGTGACGAGGTATTACAGTGGGCACCTGTGACGAGCGGGGACCCACAGGAGTCAGTCCTAGGCCAGTGTTATTTTTGATATGTGTGAATGACGTGATGGAAGGGATAGACTTAGAAGTGTCCCTGTTTGCAGATAATGTGAAGTTAATGAGGAGAATTAAATCTGTTGAGGATCAGGACTACAAAGAGACCTGGACAGACTGGACACCTGGTCCAGCAACTTGCTCCTCGAATTTAACCCCGCCAAATGAAAACCGAGGAAGGGCAAAGAAGACCGCAGACAAAGTATAGGCTAGGTGGCCAAAGACTGCAAACCTCACTCAAGTAAAAGGAAATGAGGTCAGTATAACACCGAGCACATCCCCGGAGGCACACATCAACCAGATAACTGCTGCAGCATATGGGCGCCTGGCAAACCTGAGAATAGCATTTCGATACCTCAGTAAGGAATCATTCAAGATACTGTACACTGTGTACGTCAGGCCCATACTGGAGTATGCAGCACCAATTTGGAACCCACACTTGGTGAAGCACGTCAAGAAATTAGAGAAAGTACAAAGGTTTGCAACAAGGTTAGTCCCAGGGCTAAGGGGAATGTCCTACTAAGAAAGGTTAAGCGAAATCGGCCTGACAACACTGGAGGACAGAAGGATTTGGAGAGACATGATGACATACAAAATACTGCGAGGAACTGACAAGGTGGACAGAGACAGGATGTTCCAGAGATGAGACAGAAACAAGGGGTCACAATTGGAAGTTGTAGACTTAGATGAGTCAAAGAGATATTGGGAAGTATTTCTTTAGTCATAGAGTTGTCAGGAAGTGAAATAGTCTGGCAAGTGACGTAGTGGAGGCAGGAACCATACATATTTATTTATTAATTTGAACATGACACACAGAAGTACAAGGAATACAATTTTTAAAGTGCAGCATGCCGAAGCCCCTTGTATGCAGAGCATTATGGGCAGGCTTAAAATAAACTTAAGATTAACTAAGCAATGATATATTCAGCTCATGGAGCAGGGAGAGAGGGGCCCTAGTAGCGATCAGTGAAGAAGCGGGACCAGGAGCTACGACCAGACCAATGGAATCACAACTAGGCAACTTACGAACAAAGAGCATCACTTACCAACAAAGAGCGTCACAGCAGTCAGCAGTCGAGTATACATGACGTCAACAATGAACGTTGCAACACCAGATACCAACACTCTCTCTCCTGTAAGAAAAACTAATTAGTAAATAAAATATACATACAAATATTGTCTGTGTCCACAGTAGGACTCGAACCTGTAAACTTATCAGAGTCGACAGTACTTTACCACGGCTCTGTGGTAAAGTACTGTGGACTCTAATACAGAGACTGCTGGTATAAACCTTGGTAATAAATACCGACAGGTTGGTTTAGAAAGACACGTAAGCAAACACTATGACATATTAGAAAACGTTTCGGTCCTGGGACCTTGATCAAGGTCCCAGGACCGAAACGTTTTCTAATAAATATGTCATAGTGTTTGCTTACGTGTCTTTCTAAACCAACAAAGATTGCTGGTTCGAGTCCTGTTGTGGGCGTAGACACAATGTAAATAGTGGTTTCACTCTGGGTTAGTCTAACACTGTTTCACTCTGGGTTAGTCTAACACCGTTTCACTCTGGGTTAGTCTAACACTGTTTCACTCTGGGTTAGTCTAACACCGTTTCACTCTGGGTTAGTCTAACACCGTTTCACTCTGGGTTAGTCTAACACCGTTTCACTCTGGGTTAGTCTAACACCGTTTCACTCTGGGTTAGTCTAACACCGTTTCACTCTGGGTTAGTCTAACACAACCAGAAGCAATTATTACTACAGAAAAAGCGTCCTTCCTCCAAAATTTGCACCAGTCAACTATAGTGATAATATAGCATTTATTGTGGTGGAGACGGAAAAAAAAAATAGAAAAGCTAGATACAGCGATTGATAAACAAGGGTTGAGGTCGACCGTTCGTCACTGTAGGAGTGCCAGCAGTCACCGATTTCTTCAACACGCAAGTTATACTTTTGTATCAATCAAATAACATATTACTCGGGTAGATAATTTCCAGTAGATCCTTCATGTGTTAGCTCAAATCACCGACCAGTATGTTTTAAATAAGTGACCCACTGATCAGATCAGATCGACTGTTCCGAACCCTCGACTGGTCCGAACCCTCGACTGGTTTCAAACGGTTTCGTTGGACAATAAAGCAGACTAAACGGATGGGGTTGTAGGCGCCCTTATAAACACAAACATTAAATATATATCAGGAACGTGCACGGTAAGCTGTCCAATATACAAAAACAGTTAGAAACAGAAATACAAATAGCTAGAGCTTCATTTAAGGAGGTTATTAATAGAATATTCAAGAGGTTGCTAGTAGAATTGCAGTAAATCAACCATTCAAATCATTATGAAGCAGTGTGTAGTCTGTGGTCAGTCAAACAAACGGGCTTCCACATGCATAAATTGTCATTTTTGTGGAAATTGGTGTCACGCCCCTTGTGCAGATATCCAAGAACTAGCTACAAGCAGTATTAAAACAGGGAAGTGTTTTTGGGTATGCCCAAATGAGATAAATCTGTAGACTAAAATCACAAGGGTATTAAAAGAGGTCAACATCAAAGCTGCTTTCATAGAAAACCTGGAAGCTTTCTACAACAGATGGGAACATAAAAAGTCTGGGCTGAATGGTACTGCCCTTGATACTGGCCATGTAGTCAGAAACTGTAAGGCTGGAGATGATGTCCTGGTAGTCAGTAAATGTGGGGCTGATAGTGCTATCCTGGGAGACAGTAATGGTGAAGCTGGAGATGCTGTCCTGGGAGACAGTAATGGTGAAGCTGGAGATTTTGTCCAGGTAGTCGGGAATTATACGCAGGAAGGAATACATATAAATGACCTCAAAGGGGACAGGAGCCATAGTAGGGAAACAAGTGTAGTCAAAGATAAGATAAAACCAATATTGCAAACTAGAAATACCGCAGGAAATAGCAAACAAGAGGACTCCACTAGCAATAGTGAGGATATATTACCAAAAACAACTGGTGGGAGCTCCATTGTTGGTGCTAGGGAGGATAGAAGTAAGACAGGGAAACATGCACCAACAGGGAATACAGTCACAGAAACCCAAGGCAAACGGAAACCAAGCCTGTGCACATACTATGCACTCGGTATCTGCTGGCATGGAAAATCTGGAAAAAATAGATGGGACGTGCAACTATGACCACCCTAGAAAATGCCATGCCCATATGACAACAGGAAAATGCAAACTCCATTCCTGTAAGCTTTTTCACCCTGAACTGTGTACCTCTTCAGTACAGGAAAGACTGTGCTATAACTTAAATTGCCAGGCATACCATCTAAAGGGGACAAAAAGATACAAAACATCCAGGCCATGGGAAAACCTGGGTAGCCACAGCCACTCAAGAGGGAAAGGTTTTTTAGTGCCAGGAAGGAAAAAAAACTGGCAGGAAATGGGAGAAATCGTACACCAAATCCAGTCATTCCTGGAGTGGAACCACAATCTATGGCCTCCACTCCAAACCAACAGATACAGATACTAATGCCGGAAAAAAAAATCCCCCCCCCAGTACCAACAATACCACCAGTCCGATAACATTCTTCTTTGCAAATATACAGGGTCTAAAGCCAGCAACAAACAACAAAATACCTTTCATCCGTGGACTGCTTGCAGAGGCAAAGGCAATGTTCGCGCTTTCACTGAGACCCACATAAAGGATCACTTGGACAACGAAATATGGATCCCAGGTTACAACCTATACAGATGTGACAGTGAACAGGCAAAAGGGGGGGGGTTGGCCTGTACATTGCAGAGTCACTTGTTTGCACAGAACTGCTACATGCCTCAAATGATGTAGTGGAAGTTTTAGCAGTAAAGGTCGAGAACCAAAACCTAGTCATTGTGGTAGTCTACAAGCCTCTGGATGCAACATCCCAGCAATTCCAGGAACGGCTGTTAAAAATTGACCACTGTCTGGAAAATCTTCCAGCTCCTGCACCCAACATCTTGCTCCTGGGGGATTTCAACTTAAGGCACCTAAAATGGAGGAATATAGCAAATAATATTGTTGCAGTAATAACACCAGGAGGCAGCTCTGATGAAAACTCACACTCACGCGAGCTTTTAAATCTCTGCACAAAATTCAATTTAAACCAGCAAATAATAGAACCTAGTAGACTGGAGAATACACTAGACCTCATCTTCACAAACAATGATGATCTGACAAGAAATGTCACCATATCAAAAATATACTCAGATCACAACATAATTGAGGTTCAGACATGTATGCGTGGAGCCCCAGACCGACATAATGAGATTAGTCACGAGGGAGCATTCACCAAATTCAACTTCAATAACAAAAACAAAGTGAGACCAAGTAAACCAAGTCCTAACCGATATAAGCTGGGAAGATATACTAAGCAACACAGACCCCAACTTATGCCTAGAACAGATTAACTTGGTGGCACTATGTATGCACAAGGCTTATTCCTCTAAGAAAAAGGAGGAGTAGATGTAAAACAGAAAGAGACAGGCGCTCCCTTTACAGGCGACGGAAAAGAATAACAGAGCGGCTAAAAGAGGTCAATATATCTGAAATGCGTAGGGAGACACTGGTCAGAGAAATAGCAAGCATCGAACTTAAGCTAAAAGAATCCTTTAGGAGTCAGGAATCGCGGGAAGAACTAAAAGCCATAAATGAAATCGAAAGAAACCCAAAGTATTTCTTCTCCTATGCCAAATCAAATCGAGAACAACGTCCAGTATTGGGACCCTACTTAACAAGATGGGTCCTACACAGATGACAGCAAGGAAATGAGTGAGCTACTCAAGTCCCAATATGACTCAGTTTTATAGCAAGCCGCTAACCAGACTGAGAGTCGAAGATCAAAATGAATTTTTTTATGAGAGCCACACAAATTTGATTAACACAAGCCTATCCGATGTTATCCTGACGCCAAATAACTTCGAACAGGCGATAAATGACATGCCATGCACTCTGCCCCAGGGCCAGACTAATGGAACTCTGTGTTCAAGAACTGCAAGAAGCCCCTATCACGAGCCTTTTCCATCCTATGGAGAGGGAGCATGGACACGGGGGTCGTCCACAGTTACTAAAAACAACAGACATAGCCCCACTCCACAAAGGGGGCAGTAAAGCAACAGCAAAGAACTACAGACCAATAGCACTAACATCCCATATCATAAAAATATTTGAAAGGGTCCTAAGAAGCAAGATCACCACCCATCTAGAAACCCATCAGTTACACAACCCAGGGCAACATGGGTTTAGAACAGGTGCTCCTGTCTGTCTCAACTATTGGATCACTACGACAAAGGTCCTAAATGCACTAGAAGACAAAAAGAATGCAGATGTAATATATACAGACTTTGCAAAAGCCTTCGACAAGTGTGACCATGGCGTAATAGCGCACAAAATGCGTGCTAAAGGAATAACAGGAAAAGTCGGTCGATGGATCTATAATTTCTCACTAACAGAACACAGAGAGTAGTCGTCAACAGAGTAAAGTCGAGGCAGCTACGGTGAAAAGCTCTGTTCCACAAGGCACAGTACTCGCTCCCATCTTGTTCCTCATCCTCATATCCGACATAGACAAGGATGTCAGCCACAGCACCGTGTCTTCCTTTGCAGATGACACCCGAATCTGCATGACAGTGTCTTCCACTGCAGACACTGCAAAGCTCCAGGCGGACATCAACCAAATCTTTCAGTGGGCTACAGAAAACAATATGAAGTTCAACGATGAGAAATTTCAATTACTCAGATATGGTAAACATGAGGAAATTAAATCCTCAGAGTACAAAACAAATTCTGGCCACAAAATAGAGCGAAACACCAACGTCAAAGACCTGGTAGTGATCATGTCGGAGGATCTCACCTTCAAGGACCATAACATTGTATCAATCGCATCTGCTAGAAAAATGACAGGATGGATAATGAGAACCTTCAAAACTAGGGAGGCCAAGCCCATGATGACACTCTTCAGGTCACTTGTTCTATCTAGGCTGGAATATTGCTGCACACTAACAGCACCTTTCAAGGCAGGTGAAATTGCCGACCTAGAAAATATACAGAGAACTTTCACGGCGCGCATAACGGAGATAAAACACCTCAATTACTGGAGCGCTTGAGGTTCCTAAACCTGTATTCCCTGGAACGCAGAGGGAGAGATACATGATTATATACACCTGGAAAATCCTAGAGGGACTAGTA